CGGGAGCGGATCAGCAGGAACCCGCTACACAACCCTGGCCCAGCCCGCACGTGCTCCAGACTTGCCTGCTCACACTAAACAGTGGCAGCAGCAGCACCAGCTGGGCAGAAACTGTTGCTCAGCACTGGGTAAAAATGGCCCCTCCCCCTTGCTGCTGCCCGGCACTCCTTGCTACAGCTGCCCGGAGACCTTGCTGGGCTGCCCTGTGGCTCCACTGCTGTCAATGCCACCTCCAGACTGCCCCACAGGGCAGTGGTGACAGAGCACAGCAGCCACAGGGCAGCCCAGAATAGGCTCCAGGCGACTGTAGCAGGGAGTGCCGGGCAGCAGCAAGGGGGAGGGGCTGCTTTTCCCCTGTGCTGAGCAACAGTTTCTGCCTATTTGCTGCTGCCGCCACTGTTTAGCATGAACAGGCAAGTCCAGGGCAGGTGCAGGACGTGCTGGATCAGGGCTGCGATACAGGTCCCCACAGGTATTGTGGGGCTGGGGCCAGCAGTGGCGGCAGATGGAAAAAGCTGCCACCATCTGATCTGCTTAGAAAGGCAGTCCAGCTGTGGAGCTGCCCCAGCCCCGCTGCGTGCTCAGGGGCTGGGACACACCACAGGCGGACAATGCCTATACCAGGCAGGACTAACGGACCAGCCATACAAAGCCCCTCTGTGGGCCGGATCTGGCCTATGGGCCATATACCATCACACTTGACAGAAGTTTAGGAGGTGTCTCAGGCACTGCTAACCATGAAAGGTGGGACTTTCCCTCTTGCTAAGGAGAAGGTGGTTCCTCCAGCCTTAAGGCCTTCATAGGCTAGTGAAGTCCATTTCTGCACAAACATTAAAACTGAGCAGCCCTTCTGACCAGAAAACTAAGAGAGGGAGAGAAAGTGTTTTCCACCTTATAATCCTTGATCTCCTCCATCAAAATCTCATCACAGTTGGGCACCATATCAGGTTTCTTTGTGGTCTCCAGCTTCCTACGCAACCTGGAAATGTCCTCCTGCAAGAGGACGAGACACCAGAAAATAAGTCACTGAATCTAGATCATCTGTCTACAAAGCTTCTGCTTTGAGGTACATTACATAACAGGAGCAAGGGGCCCCTACTGTGACTAGCAAAAGCCTACTGAGAACTTCTGTCCCTCTCCTCCTCTCTTTCAATGCACTGCATAATGGCTTCTTACAAAAACAAAGTGGTTAAATAATACACATAATCAGATATCAACTGTATTGGCATACTTTTGGCTTGCCATAGCCAAGATCTCAAATTGGGAAACGTGTGAGGTACTAACTACAGAAGGTGGGGGAAGAGTCAAAAGCCCAAGATGATGTATGACTGGAGCTGGAGACAAAATGAAGCTGGAAAAAAAAATTTTCACAGCAGAGGTAGTCATCACAGAAACTGGACAATTTCAAAGACAGGCAGTGTGACTTGAGAGACCAGAGAGGGTTTGTGGTACATGGCAGGTACCTGGGCCCGTTTGAAGTTAAACATGTCCTTCTCTTTAGTTACACTGTTCTCCACAATCTCATCTTGGAAGTCATGTAGCTTCTTCTGGGCCAGTTCTAATTGTGCTTTGAGATCATCTGCAAGTTGGGCTGCATCCATTGCCTATTGGAGGAATGGTCAGAGAATTACAGATATTGGAGACATTATGGAAATTCTTCCATCCCTCCCCATCAATACTGTTCCTTATAGAGCCTTTAGGGTTTGTCTCCAATCTATGTTTAAACATTCCAAGCAAAGGGACTATCACCCTGTGACAGGAGTATCAAGATTGGAGCCTTTCTGGGAGTGGCTCCGCCCTCCTGTAATGGGCCAGCCGCCTGCTTACTTTCCTGCCACGCCTTGATCTTATTTGATTAGAAGATGGTTGTAATCAGCGGGAGGCTGCCCATTTTTCCACGCCCCAATGACAGGGGACACTACTTGCGGCTCCTTTTCCTCCCCTACACCGCAGCCCAAGCCTCGCAGATGGAGTTGAAGTGGTCTGGTCAGTTTCCTTTCTGTGCCCTGATTGGCGCCCCCGGGCTTGTCGCGCAACCGGCGCCCCTCACTGGTGCCCCAGACTTGGCATGCAACCGGCACTCTTCACTGGCGCACCGGGCTTGTCACGCAACTGGCACCCTTCACTGGCACCCCAGGCTTGTCACGCAACCGGCGCCCCTCTGCTCGCTAGCCCTCTCGGGGCTTTTCTCTGTGTGCTCGCCCCTTCGGGGCCTCTCTCTGTGCCCCCGCCTCTATAGGATCGCCCTCCCCTGGGGCTTGTCTCTATAGCATATTCATGTGTGCCCACCCTGGGGCGCAACACGAGCACCCTCCGGGCTTCTCGCCGGTGCCCACACTGGTGCTCCTTGCAATTGGGGCTCAGGTGGCCTTAGCCGGGCCTGGCCCCTAAATCCTCTGTGTCCTCTCTCAGGGCTGGGGTAGTGCACCCCTAAATGCGGTGCCCTCACTGGCACCGGGGTCCCCACCCCTGTGGAGCCCCACTGAGGCCTCCTCCAACCCCTATTAGCCTCACCCGGTCCTCCAGCCAAAACAGTAAACATAAAACATAAAGCCCCTGGGCTACAACATAAAAACTAGACCGTCCGTGGAACAAAAATCTACTCCCTACCAGAGAGCAAGGGAGTGGGGGAAGAAGGGCTCCACCAACCTCAGCAGTGACCCGGGGATGCTCTCATGGCCAGAATCCTCCCCTCTGTCTGTCTGGGCTGAGTCCCTGCTCCCACAGCTGCTGGAGAGGGACTGCCTTCCTGGCCTCCTACCTGGGCTTAAGAAAGGATAAGCCCTGCCCCTTCCTGGTCAGCTGGTTTTACCAGTTGTCCTGGCAACCAGCACCTGTGCAGCCCTGGTGACTGGCAGCTGAGCCTCCCCCTTTCTGCCACTAGGGATCTCCCCAGAGCAGTCCCCGCTCTGCAACACACCCCTTCTCTTCAGGGCCCATCCAACAACTGAACATTTCATTCTCAAGGTCTTGAGATTCAGCCTGAAGTTTCCATTTTTTAGTTTAATCCCATTAACCCTAGTTGTACTTCTGTACACCTCTCAAAAAAACCAATGCATCCCCTTCGTGCTTACACCCTTCAGACACTGTTAACCTCATAACTCTATTGCCCTACTATCTATGGATAGGTAGTGATTATTTTGTGATTTAAACTAAAGATAGAACTGTCAGGATCAACCTTTTTACTTTTATGAAAGCTAGTAAATAATTTACTTTCCCCTTAAACTTCCAATACCCTGCTAATTTGTTCATCATTTTAAAAAAGTCACTGAGCCAGTAAATGTTAGCAAAATTCCCTTGACACCATAGGCTCTAACATCCAAACGGGCTAATCACATTGCAGACTTATGCTTCTTATAATTTCTTCATTACTTCTTTAGAAAATAATATTTTACCTGCCTTCCTGAATAATTGTTTTATTCCTAAATTTTTCTTGACAAGAGTGAAAAACAAGGAGGGCAGATGCAATCACCCAAATGGATCAATCTAATTTCAGTCCTTATCAACAAACCTCCTTGTTTTACTGCCCCTGGTTATATTTGTTCAAGCCCTTCTTATTCCCCTGAGCTTGTTTGACTTCTGTACCATCCTGAACTGTTCTCTGTAAGCCTTAACTGACCCTGATTATCTTCTTTTGGCTGCCTCCTTTCTTTCCCCATTTCAATTTTTCTTTTACCATGTGTGCTCTGATCAGTCCTTCGTGAAGCTGTATTGATTTGTCTTGGTCCTTTCTTTCTTATTCTTGTCTTCTTTCTTTTTTTCTTTCTTTATCAAAGGATTGGTCTACTGTGCCTTAATTAGAGCACTATTTGGGATTCCTTAGCTGTGTATCATGCTGATGTGGCCACAAGGAATCTCAGAACCCACAGGACAGATCAAGTGTACACCTTAAGCAAGATAAAAACGTTGCAAGTGCACCATCTAAGAGCTGTCACTCGCCTTGCGTTTGTTCATTTCAAGGGCCTGTGTTCGGAGGCCCAGCTCTTTCTCTCCAGTGCCAATGTTGCTCTGCAGCAGGTGTTCCTTCTCCTCCAGCTTCCGCACAACCTGTAACTGAGCATCCACCTTACAAAGGAAAGGAGAAGTAGTCAGAACTGTGCATGCTGCTGCTATTTTGTTTGTTACTCTTCTCCTTGTTTCCAAATCACTTAGCTCCGTTAGTGTGCAGTGGGAGCCCCTAAGGGCTGCTGTGAGCAGTCATCAGTATGCATGTGGGCTATGGATTGGAGAGCTTCCTAATTTACAGCTGTTTGAGCTGTGGACTTTTACCAGAGCCCGTGCAAATAGCCAGCTGCCCCTGTCTGGTATGGGTGCAGCCATCTGGGAGCTGCCTTATCCTTCACTCTCCCTGCTTAGGCAGTCCACTGCAGGCAGCTACACCTCCCAAAAGGTGCATGATTAGGATGTGACATTTTTGATTGAACATCCCCAAAACCAGGTGTCCTGAGATGCATATGGCATGCCAGGATGCACAATTTTTGAGATCTGTGATAATATTCATCAGACCCCAATTTCACAATGAAATTAACATCTTGAGGGCCTAAGACATTTCACATTCATTGAGCTACCCTGTGAGAGATTGCAACGAAGCATCCAAGAAGCTTACACAATGTCAGAAGAGCTCTTTGAAGTCTAGAAAGCAGATAGGCCTGATTTCTGAGAGAACATCCCAATCTCTCCTGCCTTCTGGTTACCTGTGTCTTCAGGGTCAGGACCTGGTCTGCCAACTCCTCTTTTTCCTCCTTCAGCAGCTTGTGGATCTGGTTCGACTTGATACGTTCTGACATAAGTTTGAAGTTGGCATCATCCTTCTCCCGCAGCTGCTGCATCAGGCGAATGTTCTGCTCCTGCATATCCTCAAAGGCTTGTCCTGTGACATCCATTTCAGAAAGCAGGGCCTCCTCCTCCTGGGAGAGGGACAGACTTTGTAAGTGCAATCTCTCTTCCCCTTCTCAAAAGGGTGGGTTGTTTGTGTTCAAGCACCTCATTATCTTAGGAAACAGAATTTAGTGCAAGTGAATTTAGAGCAGACTGCTTGAGAATAAACTCTTCTCACCAAACCACAGAAAATCTCTCTCAAAATCTGCACTTCTTTAAGGGGCAGATGGTAATTTCCACAGACATCCATATCCCATGGTATGTCTACTGGAAAAGACAACAAAGATGAAAATTTAAGCCAACCGTTATATAGACCCTCCTCCAGGAGGCACAAGATAGGGACAACAGACTCATGGAACAGTCACCTGATATGAATTTGACCTAACGACATTACAAGTTGATGGGCCAGCTGTCAATATCTCAGTAGTTTATAACGAACTCCTAAACTATTCAAGTCTCTGGGATTTTCTTAAACTACTTTAAAACTCACGAAACAGAAAAGGTGGGAGATATCAAAGATCTGCCCCTATATATTGATGTCCCTTCATCTTGCAAGGGAACAAAGATGGGCACTAAATGATGGCAATCTACTTCCCCTCATGTAGACCCATTTTTGTAATCTGGGATAGTCTCTATAAACAAAAGCATTTACTACCTGTGTTTTACTACAGATGTTATACATACTACACTAGTCTATCTTGTCACATACAATACCAACCTTTTCCCCCAAAACAGCTGCTGGAAATTAGAGTGCATATTATATGTGAGAAATATGGTAAGAGCAGGTTCTTCCCTTACTGGGCAATGCTGACAGAGTTAAAATCTGCATAAATCCACAGGAAACAGAACAACGATCAGGCTCAGCTCCCTAGCTGCTGGTACTTAGTTACTTACTACAAGGAAAGATTTTTTTTTAATCATACTTTCTTTCAAAAACAACAAGGTGCCTATTAAAATCTGGAGAGTGCAATATGCAAGAAAATATGGCGTTTCTAAATTGTATGAGCTCTGCATAAAATCAAATGAATTGTGAATCAAGTCTATTTTTAAGAGAAACCGCCTGCGCCACGGATTGACTTGACCTGCATTACCTCAGCAGCAGCATCATAGGCTCACACCATCTCAGTGTTACATGAATGTAATTCTTTCCTCCCACTAGCCTCATTATATTCTGAGAATACTGTTGTAAATGGATGGGGACAAAGGTGGGACCTCATTGCTGGAGGCTGCACATATGGGAGGATGTTGATTCTAGCCATTCCCTGATAAGTTTGGCTGATAGAGCTGCTCCTACTAAAGGGGCATTTCCACAGTCTCTTCTCACCTGCTTGGCCATGGCTAGCTTCTTCTGCAGATATTCGATTTGCTCCTCCACTGCCCGGATCTTGCGTAAGGCATCCTCATCTGCCATTTTTTTACTCTCTTTTTTCTCCTTGTCCTCCAGCTCCCTCACCCGCTGCCGAAGCTCTTCCAACTACAAGAAAGAGAAAAAGGGATACAAGGAAAGGAATAAAATGTCAATAAAACTCTTAAAGAACCAACCTTCCCCTTATGTCTCTGGAACTATAGAGGAAACTAGAGGTGCACCAATACACTGGTCCGATATCAGATTGCTACCAATATAAAGAAAATTGGCTGTAACGGAAATTGGTCCGATGCGGCCAATAAACGTGTGCGCGCAGCTGCAGCAAAGCATGCAGGCAGCAAGGATCAAAGTTCAGCATCTTGGAGAGCTGTTGCAGCTGGTAAGTGCACTGTGGTGGAAGGGGATGGGGAAGGAAGGGGCATGAAGGGAGGCAATTGAATCAGTATTGGAAATCGAATTAGTATTGGCCAATATGCCTCCTTAAAAAAATCGGCTATAGGCATTGGCCCCCAAAATCTCTATCAGTGCACCCCTACAGAAAATGCCTTCAAGAGCTGGAAATCCTGTCTATACTGCCAGTAAAGAGTTAGAAGGCACTGTGTTATCATATTTATTTGACTCTCACAAGAGCCCCCCCATTTAGCATGGTGGGGAAGTCCCTCATCTTAGAATTGTGTATGAGAATGGGGGCTGTGGAGGAAGGAAAAACAAGTAGCTGCTGCAGCCCAGGGTTGCGGCCAAAGCTACAGCTGCTGCCTGCCCTTCCACCCCCTGCCCCCACTGTCCCTGCACCTTGCTATCCCCCCCACACCAGCCTCTGCTCCCCTACCTGCCTTTCTTTTTGCCCCTTACCTTTGCTCCATGCTGGTAGGCTCTGTCCATGCTGCAGCCTGGGGCACTGGGCTTGGCCCCAGCTTAAGCCCGCAGCTTAACCTGTAAGGCTGCTAAGGGCCTCGGCTTGGCCCCAGGTTAGGACAGGGATGGAGCCTGCTGGCACAAAGCAAAGGTAAGATGGGGGAGGAGGGAGCAGAGGCTGGGAGCAGGATGCAGTGGGAAAAGAGGAGGCCCTCAAGGCTGAGTGGGGAGCAGGCAGGAGGCAGAGAGACAGGCACAAGCAGGGGGCAAACTGCTTGAGCATCCCCACTGCTTCCCCCCTGCAGTGGTGAGGGGATGCATAAAAGGTGACCCTCCAATAATTAGATTCTATACATGGAAAATATAACAAATTTATAAATTTTCCATGTACAGAATTTCATTATTGGGGGGGCATTTTAAATTCAGGGTCATCTTAAACTGCAGTAAGTCCAGTACTTCAGGTATTCCCCTTCAGGAGGAGTCCTAACCTGAGGTCCTGAACATCATTAAAAATTCCAAGATATCTTTTCACAGAGAATGAATATTAACATGGTCTCCACAGTTACATTCCCCTGGTTTAAATTCCTTCTAAAACTTCATTTAGATATAGTATTCTTCATTTTTAAATCCAAACTGCTGTCCGAGTACTTATTTTAGTTCTACATATCACAAGTGACAGGATGGGACTTCTTTGAATTCCTTCGGGAGATTATTATTTCAGTTCAATAGACTACTGTATAATGAGGGTTTTCCAATGTTCTAACTTAGTTTCCATTTTATTTCTTTTTCTATCATTCCAGACAACCCTGAACAATTCCTCCCTTCCACTTGCTACTCTCACCTTTGATCATGCTGGATACCATATTCACTTAAATACAGAACAAGTTTCCCACCCAGTTCCCCTAAACAGCACGGGGGTAAAAAGCCCTTCATCCTACATTCATATACAAGGACATTTCATTATACTAGCCAACTGCCCATCATGAGTGACGGAGCGTTTCAGGGAGAGCTGACATGCACCCCACCACTCATCCTTTGGGGCTGACCATGTAAACAAGGGGTGGGCAATTATTTTGGGCAGAGGGCTACTTACTGCGTTTTGGCAAGCTGTCAAAGGCTGCATATGGGTAGCTCTACCCCTTGGCAGGTGCCCCACCCCCCAGGTGCCACCTTGTGACCAGAAGTCCCACCCCCTAATCCCTGACCTTTGCCATCAGAAGTCCATCCCCTTGCCCCCAGCAGTACTCCTTTCAGCAAGGGGGTGTGCCATCTTGGAACCAGAAAAATACCAATTATATTTTAAAAAGGAAACATCTCCAGCATTCATTAATTTGCTTTCAAAAAATATTTTGTCTCAATTTACATGCGTTGTGTAGTGTACATAGAGGTGATTGGACAATAGCTTAAAATTAAGTTTTACTCTTGTATATGGGGGGGTGGGTATAGGTTTGTGGGGCGCTGTGGGTGTGTGCGGATATGTGGAGTGCAGGTGGGTATGGGGAGGGTGCCTGGGCGGTAAGAGGGGGTATGGATGTGGGGGTCTGTGTGCATGACAGTGCGAGGGGAGTGTGAGTGCACGTGTATGGTGGGCTGTACACGTGGGACTCATCCTATGAACATACACACACCCACCCCCACCCATTCTGCCCCTGGCTGCACACCGACACGCACCCACCCTGCCCCTAGCTGCATACCCACATCCACCCACCCACTCTGCCCCTGACCACACAACCACACCCACCCACCCTCTCTGTCCCTGGCTGCACACCCATGCCTACCCTCCCACTCTGCCCCTGACTCCACACCCACACCCACCCACTGGCTCCACAACCATACCCATCCACTGTACCCCTGGCTGCAGACCCACACCCACCCTCCCACTCTGCCTCTGGCTGCACACCCACACCTACCCTTCCATTCTGACCCTGGCTGCACACCCACCCTCCCACTCTGCCCCTGGCTCCACACACAAGACACACACCCACACATACCCACAACACACCAGGCACACATGCACCCTACCAGAGGCTCCGTGCTCCCCGCTGCTGCAATGCAGCCAGGCCACATGGTGCCAACAGTGCCCGCAGGCAGGGAATG